TTATATTGGTATGTACACACCATAAGTTTCCTCATGCTGTAATCACAATAAGTTTCCAAGGCCCCTAATTTAATCTACCTTTATCCTTATTTATTACCAACAGTCCTTTATAAAGGCTCTATATGTTCTATATACTACCTGAATTAACTATTATCTGGCACGTGATCAATTTGTGGGTAGCTGGTTACGCACGTTTGAGGGCTTAGGTGTATATTGATGTGGAATAAGGAATTTTGAAGAGGGATCAGTGCTAGTTTAGACAGATGAAACTGGTTCACGCCCCTGTCTGTCAAATATTGAATTACACGTGGAATTTATCAAAAAGAATAAAGTAAAAAATCTTCAAATGTACCATGGACGTATAAATCCATTATTGGTTCTCCAGATTTATAAAAATAGATTATACGAGATTATTTTCTTAAATATACCTTTTTTTATATTTAGTTTTACGATGCCTGCAAAGGGTACCCTAGAGGCCGAGGTTTGTCGTGCATCTCCCGAGATTGCGCCATCAAGTTGTCGACTATGTCGATTCACCGTGAGCACTGAAAAGGAGTTCAGGCTTCATTTTGAACTGGTAATTGTGATCTTGCTGTCTGGACCATTGTAACTTATTTTACTATAAAACCCATTCTGCATCGAAAAGGGAACTGACATCTTTCAATAGAACTTCATACACAGCATTTTTGATCGTTTTGTTTATTCATCTTGTTCTTTATTTGGCCATGGCCACTTGAGTTCTTGAGCGTCCATAAGCTTAATGCCTGTCGCCTTTTGTCATTCACAATTTTCGAGTAGACAATTTAGGGATGTTCGAGTTATGCAAGTAATATTGATCAATTGTTAATTTTCCATTTTTGGCTACAGGATCATAAAAACCCCGCCAGTTCCGGGCAGATGGGTTGTAGCGCTTGTGGTCGCGTATTTTTTGGGCCTGGAAGCAAAATTGATGTAATTGGCCATCTGAAGACCGCCCATGAACCAGGTATGAGCAGTCCTGTCGTCTGTCCGAATGCATCAACGAACATGTATGGCGAACTTAATGCCACCGAAGACGCTGCGCATTCGAGTTGCAGTGGCTGTTTAGCTCGATTTACATCGCCCCGCCTGCGGCAAAGTCACTTGGAGGCAGCCTCGTCTTTTGTATCTGATGTGGCATTCGGTTGGGCCTGTCCCCTAACTGAATGGCCTTCAGAAGTCGCTGATGCATTGGGTGGACCTGAGGAGGGAGCTGCTATTGCCCGAGCCTTAGATACCGATCTAGATGTCCTGCGCACTGAGCTGGCTGCTGAGCGTGCTCATCAATTGGTTTTGGCTTATTGTTGTCCCAATTGTGCACGCATGTTTGTCGGCGAATCAGCAACACAGCGGTGAGTTCCAATCTTATTGCGCCTTTGAATATCCGCACTTGCTTAAATTTTTGGCTGGCGTATTTAAGCGC